AAGCTTTCTACTTTCAATTTTATTCAAGATTTGGTATTTATTTTTCATCCTTTGTTATTCAATTATGTTTTCATTATTTATTATTGTTTTTGTTTCTTTAATCATGTGTGAGTAGATTCTTTAATTCAAGATCTAGTGTAGCCCTATTATTATTGATGCATGAATTAAATCTTTAAATTCTTTAACAACTTTAACAATTGAATTGCTAAATTGATTGTGATTATGCCAATGCTAGGTTAGACGTAACTATAGTATTGCGATTATTCCATTGTTTTTATCACAGCGAGAGTTGGGTATAAACGGATTTGAGTAAATCAATTTAGGGTTTGATTCTCAACACGAGAGTAGTTGTGTTTGATAATTGGGAAGTGAGAGTAACGTGTTTAATGTCTTTAATATGCATGATACCATGAGAATAGGATTGATTGTATGTTAGGGAAGCCATTGATACTCGAGAGAGACCCTTGGTAATTATTAGGGTTTACTTTTCCCCGTTCGATTGAAATCGTATGTTAAAGGTAGAATTACAATTGCATCGATAATAATTGTGGTGAACTAGATCTTGGATGTTTTAAGTACTTGATTTAATCATCTTATTTAGTTTATTTTCGAATTCTTCTCATACTTAGTTCCGTAGATAATTGATTATAATTGATCCTTGCTTAGTATAAATTCGAGTCTATTTAATTATTTTTGAACCTTAGTCTCTTGGGATCCGACCCTTACTTGCCAGTCTACATTAGTATTGGTCTGTTAGGTTATTTTTATAGGTACGCGACACGCCTACCAAATTTTGGCGCCGTTGCCGGGGACTAACGGTTTCATTAGAATTATTGTGATTCATCTTTACTAAGTTTATTTCGTTGCTTCGGCTATTTTCCCTTGTGTTTTTGATACTTTTCTCTAGTTTTTCTTGTGCATGCCCACACGTAGCTCATGTTCAGAAGATCTTGAACCATTTGATTCTGAGATCGAAGGCAACTATAAGAAGAAGGAGAACAAGGAACAGACGCAGGAAACATGGTAGACCAACCAACGAAATCCCTTTGGAGTACGGTATTCCTGATACGACTACCGGAATCCTTTCAAGCATCATAAGACCACCAGTCACGGCTCAGCACTTCGAGCTCAAGCCACATTCATACAGTTCATCTCCAATGATTCATTCGCAGGGCTACCACATGATTGCCCCGTAAGTCATATAGATAATTTTTGGAGAAATGTGACACTATGAAGTTGAATGGTGTTACAGATGATGCAATCAGACTACGCCTTTTCCCCTTCTCACTTCGAGACAGGGCAAAGGAGTGGTTAAGAGATGAAGGCACTGGCTCGTTCGATACATGGGACAAGTTAGTGAAGGCCTTCCTAGTGAAGTTTTTGGGAATGAGAAGACTGCAAGATTGAGGAATGAGCTACAAACTTTTAAGCAGTCAGATGTTGAGTCTCTCTATGAGGCTTGGAGGAGATTTAAAAGATTGCAGAGACAATGTCCTCACCATGGCATTCCAGATTGGATTTTGATGCAGACCTTTTACAATGGCATGACTCATGAGTTCCGTATTTACATAGATGCTGCGTCAGGAGGTTTTCTCTTGACAAAGAACCCCACTGAAGCTAGGGAGCTCATAGAGAAGATGGCGGCCAATGATAACTATCATCCTGGAGGCCGAAACACTGTGAAAAAGGGAGGTAAACTTGATGTTGATGCTTTAACTATGCTAACTAGTTCTGTGCAGGCACTAACAAGCAGGTTTGATAAGTTCCAAGCAGGAACTTCTAACACCCCACAGGAGTTGTGTCAGTTATGTCATGTGCAGGGTCATGTTGCTCCAGATTGCCCACAGATTTCGCAGAATGCGGAAGAGATGTCAATCGAGCAAGCCAATGCTTTATACTCCTCTAACCCAAAGAGGCCTTATGACCCTTATTCCAACACCTACAATGAAGGATGGAAACCATCCCAACTTTTCCTACAAAAACTCCCAAGCGCAACAAAACCCTCCACCACCACCTCAACCCAATACCTACAACCAACCACCACCAGGCTTCCAACAGAAACCACCCAATGCCCAACAACCTATGCAACCAAAACCTCAAAAATCAAGCCTAGAGGTGACCTTAGAGAGCTTCATAACCGCAACAAACAGTGCCATCCAACATCAAAATAGCTCTATCCAACAGTTGCAGCCCAGAGTAAAACTTATGGAGAATCAGATAAGCAATTGGCCAACCAATTTAACCAAGCTCTAAAGACTCCAGGAACCTTCCCAGGCCAGACAGAACAACCTCAAAGAGCCCAAATGAATTTTGTAGCCCTGAGGAGTGGAAGGCAGTTGGACGATCCTCCTACCATGGAGCCATCAAGGGAGGTCAATGAAGAAGCAGGCAAGTGAGAAGGAAGTAGAAGATGCTAGGGTTGAGGAGGCATCAAAGGAAACACCACTAAAGCCACTTGCTCCATATGTGCCCAAGATTCCTTTTCCTCAAAGGTTAGCACAAGCTAAACTTGAGAAAAAGTTCTGTAAGTTCCTCGATATTCTTAAAAAGCTTCATATTAATATTCCATTCCTAGATGCCATATCTGAGATACCTTCTTATGCAAAATTTTTAAAAGATATGTTATCTAACAAGAGGAAATTAGAAGACAATACTACTGTTGCTTTGAATGCAGAGTGTAGTGCTATTTTGCAGAACACTCTCCCTAAGAAATTAGGAGATCCAGGTAGCTATTCAATTCCAGTGAATCTTGGAGATATTTAGATCAATAGGGCACTATGCAATCTAGGTGCAAGTGTGAGTCTTATGCCGTTGTCCATATGCAAGAAGCTACAGCTGGGTGAGCTTAAACCCACACGAATATCTCTACAACTTGCAGACAGGTCAGTGAAGTTTCCTTTGGGTGTACTTGAGGATGTACCCCTCAGATTAGGTAAGTTTTTCATTCCATGTGATTTTGTTGTGATGGAGATGGAAGAAGATGTGAATGTTCCGATCATACTTGGTAGACCTTTCCTAGCTACTGCAGGTGCAATCATAGACATGAAGAAAGGTAAGATCACTTTTTGAAGTAGGTGATGAAAAGTTGGAATACTCACTTTTGAATGTCATGGGTGCTCCCTCTACGGGAGACACTATTTATCAGATAAGCCAACTTTCGCAACAGGTGAACCGCCTATCGACTCTTCAAGATCAAGCGAAGGTTCAGAAAGAACAATGCAATGCTATCTTCCTGAGAAGAGATGAACTATTCCCGAAGCAAATTGTTGAGAAGGTGTGCATCAAGGAGCCTAGAAAGGACGTCAAGAGCAAGGATGTTCAAGGCTCCAAATATGTAGCTCCACCGGCCAATGATGAACCGATGCCTTTCTCGCAACGGTTGTCAAAAGCCGTGCTTGTGGGCATAACTCTACGTTCGATGGTGGTACCTGTTTGAGAATCGATGCTACTAACCCCCCGTTTGATAGGTATGTGTTTGACAGGAATTTCGTGAAAGGAAAGGATAAAGTTCCACCCGATGGCATGTTTGGCTATATGAAGGTGAATTCGATTATAAGGCAAGTGAATAAGCCGATGAAAGAGTCGCTTGGAGGAATTCATGAACCACATCGCGGTCCTCCTCCTCCGTATAATGATCCCGGTTGAGCCAACAAGGGGAGGTCGAGCTAAAGACCTTTTAAACAAGCGCTAAATGGGAGGCAACCCATTCTCGAGTTCTTACTCTTATTTTGTTAATTTTTCTTCTTTAATTTCATTATTTTTCTTGATTTTTTTTGTTTTGATTCTTGTGTCTAGCTTTTGTTTTGTTTGTGGTCTTTTTATATAGGTGAAAAGTAAGCAAAAAGAAGAAGAAACAAGGAGGAAAAGCGCCAGAAGGAAGGAAAAAGGAGAAAAATCAATTTCTGTAGAGGCACGTCCGTGCCCTGAGGCAGAAAGTTTGGGGGTTGAACTTTTAGAGAGGCACGTCCGTGCCTCAGGTTTTCCGTATTATTTATTTATTTATTTAATTTATTTATTTTCAAAAAAAAAAAATCATCCCCAAACCTTCGAAGCTTTCTCTCTCCTAACCCAAAACCTTCGAAGCCATCGGGGGCATGATGCGACAGCACTTCCAGGGCGGTCCTAGCACCGACCCAAGGTATGGATTTCCCCCCACCCATCCTGATCAGTAGTTTGCTTTCCCTTCCCCTTGTTTATATGCTTTGTTTTATGCATACATTGAGGACAATGTATGGTTTAGCTTGGGGGAGGATTTGCTTTTCACTTTGTATATATTAGATTTATTTCAGTTTTTGGGTAGTTTATTTCTTTCTAGTGTCGAATAATATGCCATTGCATGAATATGCTTCTATGATTATAATCACATATGTGTGCTTTTTGAAAAAAAAAAAAAGAGTTTTTGAAAACCCATTCATTGATGTGCTTGGATTTGAGTTGGTTTGTGGCCAGGATGGTCTCCCGCTCTACTTATGTGAATAGTTTGTGTACCCGGTGAGAGTCTTGAGCCTTATTTGACTGATTTCACTCTACCTCAGTCATGTTTCTTCTTGTGTGATTAGATTGCTCTTCATATAATCGAATTCTTGGTCTTGCTTTTTGACTATTTGAGACTTTATGATGCATGTCACGAAAAGATGATTGAAATTTCCTTGTAGAAATTAGAGCCTCCACATTTTAGGCCTTCATGTTTATTTTTTTCTTTTTGTTTTTATTTATTTTTATTTTACATTCACCCGTAGGTTGAACCAATTTGAGTCATATTAACCCCTTCTTGATACCCTACATTAAAAGCTTTAGAGCTATATTACTAGGTTTATTTTGAAGGTTTATACACTTGTTAAGCCCTATGAGTGATGTAAAAAAAAAAGAGAAAGAAGGGAATTTATCTATTAAAAGGAAGGAAGGAAGAAGAGAAAAGAAAGAAAGAAAAAAAAAAAGTTTTAAAAAGTCTTCCTAATCCTTTTTGCTATGAATCCCTTTCTTTCTTCAAAAAAAAAAGAAAAAAGAAACGAAAAAAAGGAAGGAAAGAATAAAGGGCTATGTTTATATTGTATGAAGTTGGAGGAAATAAGGTTGGCTTGAACCCGACATTTGAATGTGTAGTGGGATTAGGATTTGTTATATTTTGAGCACCACATTCCCAAATTACGTCGTCCAACCCTTATTTACCGAGCTTACCCTTTATGGATTTCATGATTTTCGTAATTGCATCAGTCACTAAAAGTGGAGAAAAGTCACATTGCAAGCCTAAAGAGGCCGGTTGTGTGAAGTTGATATGCATGCTATGCTTAGGTTGAGTGGCTTCATATTTCACCCCGAAAACACATGAGCGTTATTGTTTTTATTTTTCACAACTAAAGTGAGAACTATTCATGTTTGTGTGAGAAGGTATGGGGAGATGTGTGGTAAGATTGGTTGTCAAGTCCAAGTATATGAGATGAATGGTGGTTTTTGTGCATGTTGACTCTTGATTTCGTTTTTTATCGTGGTTTTGAACTTGATGGCACATTGTGATTGTTTGAGGAGTTGTCATTCTCCTCCTTTGTGATTCATGGTTAAATGCTTGAGGACAAGCATTAGTTTAGCTTGGGGAGTTTGATATGTCGTGTTTTGTGTATATTATTTGGCTTATTTTTAGTTAGTTTTGTTAGTTTAGTTGAGTATTTGAGTCCGTTTTGGTGTAACTTGGTTTAGCTTCGATGATTCTATGCTTTTATGGGTAGTTTCGTTGTTTTTGATGTATTTCAGGTTAACGGAGCTAATTTGGAGATTTTACGAAGTCACGAAGCTATGCCGAGGCCCACAAATATTAAATCATGTGTTCGAGACGAACTTGAGTGAAAATGAAGCAAAACGTTGATGAAATACTTGAAAAATATGACACCTGTTCACTATTATGCTCATAACTTTTGATATACAAATGATAATGGAGTGTTCAAATTGAATTGGAAAGTAGACTTGAAGACCTTTCAAACGATATATTACACATCTCAAACGAAGCTCCGGATATGAAGTTATGACTGATTTAAGATGACTGATACGCGCAGCAGAGCAGGCACGTCCGTGCCCATCACCAGGCACGTCCGTGCCTGGAAGACAGACTCAGCAGCGTATTTGTTTTTAGAGAGGCACGTCCGTGCCTCACACTAGGCACGTCCGTGCCTCACACTAGCACGTCCGTGCCTCCTGGGATCCTTGTGCGCCAAGCTTTTTGCCGACTTTCTTATCTTTTCTAGGGCTATTTATATACTAAGTGTGTTTTATTATTTCATAAGTTTTATTCTAGCCTTTTATTTTTACGTTATTAAGAACTAGTTCTCCATTATTATTTCTAAGTTTTTGTAATTCAAGATTCAAGATTCAAGCTTTCTACTTTCAATTTTATTCAAGATTTGGTATTTATTTTTCATCCTTTGTTATTCAATTATGTTTTCATTATTTATTATTGTTTTTGTTTCTTTAATCATGTGTGAGTAGATTCTTTAATTCAAGATCTAGTGTAGCCCTATTATTATTGATGCATGAATTAAATCTTTAAATTCTTTAACAACTTTAACAATTGAATTGCTAAATTGATTGTGATTATGCCAATGCTAGGTTAGACGTAACTATAGTATTGCGATTATTCCATTGTTTTTATCACAGCGAGAGTTGGGTATAAACGGATTTGAGTAAATCAATTTAGGGTTTGATTCTCAACACGAGAGTAGTTGTGTTTGATAATTGGGAGTGAGAGTAACGTGTTTAATGTCTTTAATATGCATGATACCATGAGAATAGGATTGATTGTATGTTAGGGAAGCCATTGATACTCGAGAGAGACCCTTGGTAATTATTAGGGTTTACTTTTCCCCGTTCGATTGAAATCGTATGTTAAAGGTAGAATTACAATTGCATCGATAATAATTTTGGTGAAACTAGATCTTGGATGTTTTAAGTACTTGATTTAATCATCTTATTTAGTTTATTTTTGAATTCTTCTCATACTTAGTTCCGTAGATAATTGATTATAATTGATCCTTGCTTAGTAGAAATTCGAGTCTATTTAATTATTTTTGAACCTTAGTCTCTTGGGATCCGACCCTTATTTGCCAGTCTACATTAGTATTGGTCTGTTAGGTTATTTTTGATATGTACGCGACACGCCTACCAGTGCATAAGCGTGCCCGATCGTGTGAGCATCTAGCACGATCGGGCGATGCTGCTGGCAAGGAATTCGAAGAAAAAGGCGCGCCCGATCGGGCGGCCCTTTGCCCGATCAGGCGCGTGTTTCTATAGGACCTGATTAATTAGTTTTAATTTTTGTTTTAGGAAGAGTTTATATACGATTTTGTATGGATTTTTGTGGATCTTCTTTCTTAGATTTTCTCTCTCTAATTAGGATTTTTCCTCTCTCTTAACTTTTCTCTAAAACCTTGTTCTTGATTATTTCCATTAATACAGATTAGTTTGGTAACGATTTCTCTTCTCTTAATCTTAGTTGTTTATTTTATTCCTTTCATCATGACTTGTTTTATTGCTTGATTAGTTTAGTTTTTACTATGTGTATGTAGTTTTCTTTCTAGGGTTATGGGGATCTATAAATAATATGAAGGGGTAATTTATTGTTGTTGATTATCAATGCTAGATTAATTTCCTATTGATTGATTTAATGCTCTGTGACTAGATTTACGCAGATCTTTTATGCATGAGTTTAACAATATTAATTCGAGATTTGACAGATGAGAATTGATGTTTAGGTCTAGTTTCAATAGGCAAGTTAATTTATAAATGGTTAAGTCGAGATTCGAGAGATGAGATTTAATACCGGTAAATTAATTGTGTGATTGTAATACGTAGCGAAAGCCCTTTATGATCTGATTAATGTATGCATTGATGATTGATTAGTATGTTTTATCTTGGAAAATTATTTATTGGTGAACCTATGCCCTAGATCCTTTCACATATTGTTTTCTCCCTATTCTTAACTTTCGTAGTTTAGTTTCATATTCAACTTATATATTGGTTACCTAATAATCTAGATTATATTAGTTAATTAGGAATAGAAAGACTTGTTTCCCTGTGGATAT